TTTTGGGGTTGATCCAATTAAATACAATTTGAGAAAATGATATCATTTTTGGATTGATTCAAGGATCTTGGACTCTCTTTTGAGGATTGTTTCACCCTTCTTGTCTTTCGATCTTTTGGGTGAATCAATTCCTCCTCTATCTCATCCTCATTTTTGTTCTTTTTTTCCTTGCTTCTTGGTTCGGTTTTATGTGTTTATGCTTGATACATAAGTGCTCATGTATAACATTTTGTTATATGTGAAACCATCAAGCAAGGTCGCAAGTAGGTCAGTTTTGTTTTGGGGCGTAGGGCGATGATGACAAAGGCACATCGGTGGTAGAGCGGAATGATATCTCATCCTACAACAACATGACTCAATTATGGAACCTAATGAACTGTAGGATTAAAGTATCATTCACCGACATAAGATTAGATGGGGACCCGAACCTTCTTAAGATGTTGGTGGTCCTACGTTCGACAGCGTGATCAACTCGTGTACAACTGTACATTCCAAAACTTATAAGAATATATATGATAAGAACAGGTACAATATTTATAAAATATTTTCATTATAAAAATTAATACAACTTTCTTTGTGTATGCCCGAAATCTATATGCATACTAAAATAATATAATAAGTTTCAAATATATATTACAACTTGGTTGTTCACCTGTTGATTACCGGTTCTGGGCTAAGGAGTATCCTCTTATGTTAGGTTTAGTAGGATATTTTTCTAGTGGAGTGGCGGGCTTTATATATTCGAGTGACCGAGTACCCTTCGACGCACCTCGAATACAAATATATTATATTTGAGCTTAGCCCCGACCTGAGTGCTTGCGGTCCCCTATTTTTGGATTTTTTTCATACGTTTTATTGAAATTTTTGGACAAAACACTCGTAGTCTTTTCTCCGGAATTTCTCCCAAGGTTTCGATAGTTTTATTTGAATTATTCTTCACTGATTTTCTCGAGTTTTTCTGTCATGGATTATTTGTTGATTTTCTTGAGTTTTTCCAGGCAATGTTTCTTTTGTTTAAACAATGAATGCTAGCTAGCTTAAAGGAGTAGCAGGTCTCCCAAATATACAGGTTTGATTTACATTACAACATTTTATTTCACAGCATGTTATATTGTTCTCTTAGCATGTTATATTGTTCACCTAGCATGTTATATTGTTATCTTCTTTTATACTGCATGTTTTATTGCTTTGATATACACTATACCTTAGTATAGGAAAACCTAGTGGTTACATAGGATTGATAATAAACCTGAAGTTGCTACGACGAAGAGCTTGGAGCGAACACCGTGGGCAGCGCAACGAGGAACAACTTCAAGATGGATCTGCAACATCAAAACACATTCACATTTTCTTTAGTTTAAACAATAACCTATAGGATTTCGAGGTGTTTGTCTAGCACAACGTAAACACTCACATATCACTTTTAGGCTTTTGTATAACCCTATTGTGCAATTATAAGTCCTAACACTTTTAGGATTCCGAAGTTACTGTACGGTACAGTGTAAATCCTCCTATATTTTTAGGCTATTTGTACGATCAAATATCGTGCAAATATAAGTCTTAAATTCTAAATAAATTACAGGATCAAACATTAAATAACATCATTTCAAAGACATAAAGCCAAACAATAAAATAGTTGGGAAGTCACCAGGGTTCTCCGTGGATCTGTGATATCCCCTACTATTCGCTCATTTAGATTCCTTAAAATAACAGTTCCTATTTGAACCACTTCCGGTTGATTTTCCCGTGTCCAATATTGGAAACCTAAACTTTGAAATCTGGAAGGTAAAATCACTGATCTTAATCGAGAGTTTTCTTGAGTGGCCCCAGTCATTTATGATACACTTAACTATAGGGGTTTTCCTCTATAGGAAACTTGGAACCCAGATAAAATAAACCCTATCTAATCTCTATATTAGGTAGGGGAACTTGTTGGCCTCATATAAAAATATTTCGCTGACTAAGCAGATGTCACAAATTCTTTTGTTTAGGTGATTGAGTTGTTACTACAAGTGATATGTTTATTCTTCGGGATAAGTGTATTACTTTTGGTATTGCGCTCCGTCATCCAAACTATTCAAAATGTGAGACTCGTTTGGTCTCATCTATTTTAAAATTAAAAATGTTACTTTCAAAAAATCATATTTATTCTTAAATTATTAACATATTTTACAAAATTATATCTTCTTTAAAAATCATAAAATCACCATCTTATCTTTTTTTAAAATTAAAACGGCCGACACCATTATCGATAGCTTTTTAAGAGAATTTGTGACAAGTTTAATTATATCTTAATAGGCGAATTAGAACTTATTGGAGCATATAAATACCCTCATATATTTGAACTAAAATGGCTAGGTAATATATTTTTGGAATTTTCAAGTAATAAAATAAAGAAGTACGCATCAACATCATGGAACTTTCAAGGCTTCTATTTGGAAAAAAAACATTTCTCTTAATATCCAAGGATTATTATAAAAGTGTTTTTCTGCTCTCTAAATTTTCATAACTTGTAATAAAAATTAAGTTAGTAGGTGAATGCCTTTTTCACCACTCAGATTCAAGAGAACTTTAGTTATGTTTATTAGTTGTAAACTTTAGTACCTGTGCGAAGTGAAATTAGGTGGGTGTGCTTGTCCTTCAAAAATGATGCAAAGGTTTCTTTGCCCTGTCGAAGAATGAAAGAATGAACTTGTGTAAAGTTTTATGTAGTTGAATCCTAAGTTGGTGGAGAGCCAAGAAATGGATGCAAGTCAATTAGAGATGAAATCACATAAAAATCTATCATGCAATATCCTTGTAGCTTAAATTTAATTTCTTATCAATTTAATTAATTTATTATATACTCTTGAATTTTTATATGGTGAATGCAGTATATGTTATTATGCTCTAGTGTTGAATAGATTGTTAATCTTGTACTTAAATTTCTATTGCTAACACTTGTTGCACAACTCTCTTTAGATGATCATTCATACTAAGGTCTGTGCACTTGTAAACATAGGTGCTTAATACAATAATTCTTAAAGCTTGTGTGGTAGAGTCACTCATTTACAATATGCTCAATTGGCATAAACTGACACACAAATTAAATCAGTAATCTACACCAGAATTGCAATTATGTATTGTCCTTATAAGATTTAATCAAATGATTATAAGTATGTGTTACATAGTATTCATAAGTGTAACATTTTTTATGATGAAAAATACTTATACACTCTTAATATTTAGTTTATTCACGGTGGAAAATAAGAAGCAAATTTTTATAGGATTAATGTTTGCAATTGTTTGTAAGTAAATTTATTTGTTATGAATTTACATTTTAAGTTTCTTATATATTAAACTTATTTGACATAGTTGCCAGATTAATTCATGCAAATATTTTTTGTTAATTTCAACTTTAGAGTATTTGTAAAATTAAATATCTATTATTACTAGTCATATTGTATTACTTGTGCATACTAATAAACTAATAAATAATTGTTATAGATACATTAAGGATAAGCAGTAAATGCAAAAAAAAATAGTTGTAACAGATAAAGATGATCAATAAAATATCATGTATTTTTTGATAGGTAGACAACTCTACTAATGGCTTGTGCATGGAAGGCAATAATTCTAAAGGGATGAACTTAACTTTGTTAGAAAAAATGATCATTTTTTTTTTTTTGATATTAAATTTAAAAGGGCCATTGATAAAGCATAATGTTGAGACAATGAACTTATATCAATAGTCGTTATAACCAACAGGCTAGGTTATGACCTAATAAAATGAAATAAATCAAAATCCATGCCAATATAATGACATTTCTGTGACAGAGAATATTGAGAATTAAAATTCAAAATAAAAATGAAGCAAATGTAAATATAATTTTGCATGGTATAGTGACTTATAAGAATTATCAATAGCAATTATGTTTACTTAGGACAATTATTATATCTATTATTCATATGCATATTTTTTTATTATGTAAGTATCAATGCATGGTTACCTATTTTATTGTTGTTACTCATGTTAGTCACGAACCAGCATACTCGTTACCCTTCTTTATGTATGTCTGAATTTTATTTTTGGCATTATTTTTATCTCACTAAGCACGTAACTTACCCGATAATATAAAATTGGTTTTTAGAAAGAGGTAAGGAGTAAGTGAACTGTTAGCCAAGTGATCAATCATTCTATATAGATTTTGATTGTAAAATTCTAAGAAGTTATATAAGACTTCAGAGGTAAGCATGATTTCATATTTATTTTTTTATAAGCTTTGTACTTTATTTAAGGATTATTTAAATGCTTCCATGTTTGATATTAATGATTCTATATTTAAAGATTTGAAATGTAAGAGTTCGCTTTTGATGATTTAGTAAGATTAATTTTCCACTCACTCGAATCCTGATGACTACAAGTGAAAATGAGTGTTAGCGAAAATAGTCTAAATCGTCCTCTTCTATTACACTTTTAGTTGACTTGAAGGGGTTCAACTGGGATGTGATATTTAATATGACTAATTTAACTTAATTTATGTCTATTGCACTTTTAGTTAATTTAAAGGGGGTCAACTTGGGTGTGATATTTAATATGCTAAATTAACTTAATTTCATAAATTTACTTTCATTAAAACGAATTACTACCTACTTTCATCCCATCCCTCCAAATTCAAACCAATACTTGACCAAATGAATATGTTCGTCTTGTTCCAAAAATCATCTTATATATAGGGGTTGTATAAACAATTGATGGCGGATGTATCAAAGTTATTTTGCTCTGGGATGATAATTTTTTTTTGAAATAATTAATTATTACTTCGACCATTTTGAACTTTTTTTAAACAATGGCTCCCAATTAGCTACCATGTTGGATTCATCAAACATATTACGATCACACTAATTTTCACAAACACTTGTTGTAAAACAAAGATAATACAAACTGATGTGTGAAGAAACAACAGTAATAAAAACAATAATATTGAATGAGGTGTCAATAAATTGTAAGAAATACATACTCAAGCATTTTTGAAAGAAGATCATATGCAGGGCTTTTCGGAGGTAAATGAACATAGCTGTGGAGGCATGAGCTTTCACTGCACATAATTTAAAAAAATAAATAGGCTTGCATCCTGCACAACGTTAGCACAGAAAGCTACTGGTTAATTTATCAACTGATTAAAAAACTTACTACTTAACCGTTTGAATATGATGCTGATCACTCTGATAATGCGGCAGATGCACTAGTGTAGGCCACTTTTCAGGGTTAGGGTTCCCTGAAGTAAATAAATTTAAGTACATATAGTCGTATAAAAGTGTGACTAAAGTTCAGCCACAAAAGTGTTGTTTTCTTACCTAATACCTTGAAAATCTTGTCCAGCTGATCAGCCTGACATCACCACGACAACTATCAGTTAAGGTACAATGGTATAATTGTGGCATGTTACTGGTCTTTTGGAGTCAATGCAATGAAAGAGATGCAACAAGAAAATTTGAAATATATCTCCATAAATACCAGTGCTGATGAGTTCAAAATAAATTCACCATGTAATAGATAAATAGATAAAGATCAACCAGGAATAAAGAACAAGTCCAAAAAGGGAGTGCAAGAGAGGCCATTTATACCTGGAAAGGATTAGGCGTGCCTTTGACTTCCGCCCCTTGAAACAATGGCTTAAGCGTCAGTAGTTCAGCAAAAATACAACCCACCGCCCACATATCTACATGTAATGTGTAAAATAAGTTTAAAATTATAAAATAACCCTACAGCATAATAATCAACTTTGAAATTATTAAAAAAAACTTCTAAATCAAGATAACCATCCTACCAACAGCACTCGTATAGTGCTTTCCTCCAAGGAGAAGCTCAGGAGCTCGATACCAAATAGTTACAACAACCTGTCAACAAGTTTGCATAAAACTATTAACAACAAGGGAATAAGCTGAACGCACAAGGACAAATAAGTAGGTCCACTAAAAAATAGTCTCACCAATATCATAGAATCTATGAAGAAAAGAAACTGAATTCACATCATGGGAAAAGCGGTTTAATTGGTATCAAAAGCGCCATTACCACCGCAACCAAACCTAATAATTGTTTAGAAACAAGCCTTCTAAATGTTCCCATGCAATCTAGTGTATCTAGTGTTTTAGGCAATAAATCCACTTTTTATTTTCATTTTCTTAATATTTTTTGAAGTCCTACTCTGAGAATTGGGCCAAAAAATAGTCAGAGCGTTGTTAAAATAGTGGGTATAGTTCCTATTAAAAATTTATGATCTTAGAGAATAGACTCTAGTGAAGTCATAGGCGTATAATGCAGCAATATAATTCTTTCAAAGAAAAATGTAAATTATTACAAAAGAACATATGGATCAATAATAACAAGGTTAGTAATTGCACAAAAAACCCTATGATGAAAAAAATTTTATACCGAATGTAGCATACCGCATGAATGAAAGAGAACGTGAATTTATAAAATACACCAAAATAGCTGAAATAAACCTGGTGATGATGAGTATGATTTTGAAAACTGTCAGTTATAGCCTGCCACTTTAATAATAAGTGATTTGGGATAAATCTTGATTCACGCCTTATTGCTATGCCTCTTGTCCAGACAGTACCCATGCCCAGTTTAAATAAATAAGTTTATCATAATTACCCTCAATTTCAACTTTTATTAGGACTTCCATTAATATGTTTAAAACCTTGCGTTGATACAATTCCTTTTTATTTCAATGGCAATAATTTAACATCAAATTTGCACATGCATTCAGCATTTTGATCCTAATATATTACTTAACCTCTAGTTGCTTAAAAAACACGACCTGATCAATTCGATCAGGCACTCGCCATCTATTTTCATTGTTCAACTGTTTGACAACATGAGAAACCCAAAGGCCCCCCCCCCCCCCCCCCCCCCCCTCGCCTCACTTTCGCACACCAACCCACATTTTGGAAATAAAATTCGAAAAAAAAAACCTCCAAAAAATTGGAAATAAAATTCGAAAAAAAAACCTCCAAAAAATAAGTCAAGCATTTTCCGAGCAACGAACATGGTACTTTTCTGCAACACAAAAAACCTTAAAAAAAATTGTTTATGACATATAATTAATTAATAGTAAATATTACAAAGCTAGTAAAGAACAAAATGGGGCAATAAAAAATTTGACTTTTCCAAAAAAATTTCATACAAAATTATGCCTGGCAGCGCAACCAACTACAAAAAAAAAAAAGTTAATACATAATTGCTGATGGATGACACGTATAAAAAAAAAATTGAGCATCATAAAATTCCCAAGAGAAAACTAAGGGCCCGTTTGGGGCAGCTTATAAGTGCGGGCGGCGTTTTGAAAACG